CAGATATAATTATTTATTTTAAAAAAAAAAAATTTATAACATAAATATGTTATAAAATCACTACAAAAATAGCCATTTTGTTTCAACACCCCCTGTGTCTTATCAAGTGATGATGTTGAATGTAAAATAAATGGTTTTGTAGTGATTTTATAACATATGTATGTTATAAATTTTTTTAAAAATAAATGATTATATATATATATATCTCCAAATGAAAGAAAGAACAGATGCAGTAAAAATCCACTGTTCATAGCATTTACTTTTAAAAAGTGCTCAATACAAAGTAGTGCAATATATTATTATTATTATCATATTTTTATTATAAGAGATTATAATAAAAACATGTTGAAATCACTGCACAAAAGCTTTCATGTTTCAATACTTTGATTGTACTTCTTCAGGCGATGGTAAGTAACTGCTGATTAAATGATTTTTAAGGAAATTTAAAAACAAAATGTTACCTCTTTTCCGAAAGTTAAATGTGTAGGGGGGCATTTTGTGTTTAAATTTCCTTAAAAATCATTTAATCATCAGTTATTTGCCATTGCCTGAAGGACAATCATAGTATTGGAACATGAAAGCTTTTGTATAGCTATTTCAAAATGCATTTATAATAATATCTTTATATATATATATATATATATATATATATATATATATATATAAAAATGATAGAAATTAGTATTCATAAAAAATAACATATCTGTGTATTTGGAGGCACAGTGGCATAATAAATAGCAACTCCAATTAAGGAATCAGTAAATGAAGTTCATTAAATTCACTTAACATGGAAATACCATTGAGATGAATATGAATCCATCTCTTCTTGCCACCCCCCAGCTATGTGTAAATAGCAGGACAGACTGGACGGCAACCAGACTAGGAGAAGGACAGCTCTGAATTTATAATCAGATGAGTGTTATTTGAGGACATTCAGGCACACTATGCACCAGTTCATTGTAATTGACATTGTCTGATTAAACCATAATTAAAACTTTAGTGGGGCATGGTACATTGCTCATATGTTGTTTTTTTTTCTTTTTCTAGCAAATGTACTGTGACATATTCGAAATATTACATAGTTCAGGTTCCATAATGTCTTTTAAGAGTGACTTTATGTGAAGGGATCATAAAGAATGGTGATTTTAAAAGAAAAGAAAAATTGCATGCAAAATAAATATAAACAAATTACAGAGTTCAGTTGTGTATACAAAAAAAATATCATATTGAATAAAGATAAAATAATTTTATTATTTCTAAATTCTTATAATTTTTTACATACATAGGATACTGGAGGTAAGAGGCCGAAGGCCCAAAAGCTGTCCAAAGGAACCAGCCTAAAGTCTCCCCAAAGGCAGCTTCTACGCTAGTGTGTGTGTGTATATATATATATATATATAAAATTGATACTCAAACATTGAAATATTGGTACTTTTTTACCATTTTTTGAGTACCAAGCATATGTTTGCTGGTAAGGGTAACATGTGTAACTTGTGCATAGGCAAAAACTGGCAAAGATCTCGCAAGGCATGAGGGATGATAGCATGCTAAATGGAAGGCAAGAACTCATGTCTGTCTGTGTGGGCATGGAAACAAATTCATAATAAAGAATGTTGGTATGGAATAAATTTAAAGCCACCAATAGCCTGCCTCTATTCTGTGACACATACATCTGGGTCTGCAAAGACAGCATACCTTAAATAGTAACGTTATTTCCATGTGGGTAACAATCTCTTTTCAGCACATCTCTACCCACTCCCCTTGCTGCACAGTATATACCACTAGCCATGTAAAGGCCACCTAAATATAAAACTGAGTATCCGTCTGAAGATTATGAAATCGCCATATAACAAACTGGAAGTTCGCATGAAACTGTAGGTTGTGGAAAAGCAGAAATATTTCAGGATCATTTTATTTATATAATCAGGTCAAGCAAGTTCAGCATTCCATGACACAGTGCTTCCATCCATTTCTGTTGTTCATTGCATTTAGAAGTTCATCCAGTCTGCATCTTCAATCAGATGGTCAATGTACATCTTTTTTGGTTGACCTTATGTTCTTTTTAAATGTGATCATATCCAGAGTAGAACATCTTCAGCTAGTTCTTCTTTGCTATGCCAACAGTGACCTGCAAATCTTAGTCTTTGTTGGGATATTAATTTGCTGATGGGAGCTATGTTGCCATAGAGCTCTTTTTTTCCAGGACTTGTTTTTTATATATATTTCTTATATTGGCTCTGTTTATATTTATTTTATAGTTTACTGGGTGTTGGCCTCAATGTCCATTTTTATATTTACATATGCTTTATCTCTGATATTGAGCACTTTTACCCATAAATTTAGCATGCCTTAAAACTATATTTTTGTCATATATATATATATATATATATATATATATATATATATATATATATATAGAGAGAGTGTGTTCACATGCATGTCTAACAAGTATTTATTTTATATATTATCAAAATTGGTTCACCTCATCAGTTGGTAACTTACATCTATATTTAAGCTCTTTTCATCCAATATCAATTGCTTTTGATGCAGTAGGCATGATGTAGGCTGGTCCACAGGTATGACTAAATTGGCTTCATTTGTCATAAATTACTAATGTTCTGGTTATATCATTATATTTAACATTAGTAGCATAATGAAGAGAACTGTATACTATACTATATATCAGCATAAGCAGCCATTGTGAGTTCATCACTGGAGAAAGACTTTGTTGTTGATGATAATGACTACTCTTCACTGCCATGAATTACTAAGAAAGCCCTTCTATCTCATCATTTCTCCAAACTTTTATGGACTTGTTGCAGCAGTTAAACATTTGGTGTTTCATTGTTTTTTTTGTTTTTTTTGGGGGGGTGGTGGTTAAGAACTCAATATGAATAATCATCATCGTCATTTGGCTATAGTTGGGATCATTGAGCCAATGCGAATGATCCTTGTGTACTATGCCAGGGCTACATACAATTCTGAATTCAGAGTTACTTTCTCCTAGAATGGTTGCCATCCAAGGTTATAGAAGCCAGTCTGTCCTGCTATTTACCCATTGCTGGGTGAAGGAGGATTTCCCAAGGGTATTAGCACGTAAGTGAATGTAATGGACCCAACTGGAATTTGAACTCAGCTCTCAAATTCCTCAATCCAAGCCACTGTCCATTACTCCACCATGCCTCCTTCTATGAATAATACCCTGAAAACGCCACCATGTACAACTTTAATTTTCTTCCATGGAGCTCAACTTTGGAGTCAGTTGTGGAGGTTTATCCTTGTTAATCTAACTTTTTAATGCTAGACATTGTTGTATATAATCCATTTTTCATCACTTGTGATATACTTAAAGAATAGCTAATTAGGATGATGCATTCATCATTACAATTAGGTCCCAAAAACAGAAATTATTTACGACCCAAGCTAATAGTTGTGCTAGTCCTTTGTGGGATGTTTCTCTTATGCTTTTCAAAAAGGTCTTATCTGTCAACATACCTGTTGTTACCTGAAGAGTAGGACCACTAGCAGTTACTTCAGCATATAATAGTGATGTTTCTGTATCTGTTGGTAGAACTTTTATTTTTGAAGTATAAAAATTAGTACTTCTCTAAATTCTGAATGAGGATTATGGCCACATCTCATTGAAATATCTGTTCCCGTACGATCACTGATTAAGCAACTTTGTGCCTGATTAGTAACTAGATGTGTGACTACTTGGGAATATAAGGTACTGTAAGCTTGAAAGTGTGGGTGGTATAATGGATAATGGAATTTTTAGTCAGACAGCCAAGTTCCAATACCAGACAGGTTCATTATATTCACTTACATGCAAATGCCCTTGGGAAAGGTATGAATCCACCTCTTCTCCCCCAGCTATGAGTTAATTAGTAAGATTTGTATCATTAAATCATTATCTCCAAAAAAGAAAATTATTACAGTCTAAAAATATTTTCTGGCTTTAAATAACCTGCAAAGGGTTGATAAACTGCACAAAATGAATCAATCAATCAGATTCTGAACAAATCGGATGACGTCCCATTTCCTTCCATAAGGACAATTTTTCAAAAACAAAAGCAGGAAGGTCTCTAACTTGAGATTGGAAAGTTCAAATGAGGGAAACAAAAAAATGAAATTTATTTCATATTTATTTACATTTGGACTAGTGTCCTCATTTTTGTTGTTATTATCACAACATTCCATCTGTTGTACCCTCCTGTCTTCTTCAAGTGCCTTATCAATCCAGGTAACCTTCAGAAAATTTTGAAGTGAACCTTTTTAATCGATTGGATATATTGTTCTTGTTCCACTGTTCATGTCTAGGGATATCTTGTCTTATCCTTTTTTTTTGTATTTTAGTTCTGCTCAGTTATTGCTAGTACCATTTCCACTGAGTCTGTACTTCCCACTCTAGGGATTGAACTCACACCAAATTCATGAACCAACACTTTAGTCCACTAATTGTGAGTCCACTCCCTAGACTGGGTAGTGAAGACTCAGATTCAATGGAAACAGGGTTAGCAATAATTGAGCAGTATTAAATAAGAACAAGATAAAGTATCCATACACATGAACAGTGGAATGAAATGATATACTTCTGTAGATTAAATGAAGAGTTCACTTCAAAATTCCCTGAAGGTTACCCCCTTTGAACAAACTATTGAAGAAAGCCATGGTACAATGGCTGAAACAGTGTGATAATAAATAAAAAATGAGGATATTACTCTAAATAGAAATAAGGATAACTCCTCATCCCAGAAATGAAAAATGTAGACTTTTGAAAGTCATCAAAAAGTAAATGTGTATAGGTTTCAAGTTGCTGAAAATGTATTTTGAAGTAGTTGTCATTTTAAAAGCTGATTTAACACCAAAAAAAAAAAAATTTTGGTCATCTAATATTTTTTCATCTTAACGAGTTATTCCTGATATTTCTATTTGTTACACAAATGACTTAGAAATGAACAAGTTGCTGTCATTTTCTTTTTTGTGTTTTCCAATTTCAGAACTAGAAGGGGCTCTTCAACAGGTCCTCATGGTTCCCAGAGAGAGCATCATCAGCCTCCACCACAAACGTCACAGAATTCTCAGTCTGGCAGCACAAATAAAGGTCAGTGAGAAAGTTTTTTTTTCTTTATTTTTATTAAATCAATTTCACCCCATGCAAGACAGTAAAGCTACTAAGACACAAGGGTTACTGGGTGTGGACAAAACAAACATTACTAATGACCAAAAACAAAAAGAGTAATCAGGAGGACAGTAGATAATGATTGACATTGCAATTAATTTTTCGAAGATTAAAGTTGGCTGGAAAGCATGGAGGTGGGAGAGAGTTCCACAAGTGAAAAGTGAGAGAAAAGAAATTGTTAGCATAGAATTTGCAGTTACATCTAGCCAACTCAACTCTAAATTGATGAAATCTCAAGTCTAGGTACCATAGTGAAGAGCTCATTGGAACAATTACCATAAAAGTATTTATAGAAAAGGCAAAGGGAGGCAACCTTACACTGGTGAGAAAGTGGCTGAAGCCAAGCTGCCAGGTCAGGACCAATCATATTGCTGATTCTCCTTTGGATTTTATCAAGAATCTCTAAATAAATAGCAGGAGCACTGGACCAAATATGGCAGCAATATTCAAAGCAAGGATGAATGGTATATGTATAGATATCTATTTTGGCGAGAAAACAACACAGTGAACCAACTTTCTTAGCAGTTGACCTAGCAATGGATTCAATGTAGTCTTTCCACTTCATGGCAACTGAGAACGTTAGCCTAAGAAGGTGCAAGAAGTCACTTTCCTGGCAGTTAGCATCAGCCATACTGATGGAAAGCAGAAAGGAGTCTCTCAGATGATTAAGAGATGTTTATTTCACAATTCATTTTGTTTTACCATCTATAAGTTGAAGCTATATGAGCAGGTGTAGCTTACCCTGTGCCTCAATCTATATCTTTGGAATTTCAAGTAATCAGTCACCCATCTATAATACCAAATGTTGTTATAGTGGGTACTCATATTTGATGCAGACACCTCATTTTTATTATTTTAAACAGTCTGTGTATTACTTTTGTAGATCTGCGCATAAGGAAAATTTGTCCTCCAGAAGGGATCAAACCTCTGTTTCCCTTTGTAGGAGAAACAACCATTTGATATAGCATGCTTTACTGCTCAGCTACAGAGAACACGATAATCCAGTAAGCCTCGATTTTACCTTTTAAGGAAAGCACACTTCCTCACAAAGATATTTTTCTTGAAAGCCTGTCTGCTTAGTTTCATGTAAAAACATAAACAAAGCAATTTTTAAAGAATTAATGCATTTATTTTTATTCCAACATTTATTCATTCTTTATAAAATACAGTGAATATTTAAAAAAAAAAAACATAACTAGCGTCTAAATTTGGCTAAGGGATTGCATTGTTTTTAGATAAATCCATTTTGCAGTTCATTGACTTTGTTAGTTTATAGTTTATTTTCCAGTTCTTGCAATAAACTCTGTGATAATATTAAATCTCATGTTGTGTCTGTATGTATTTTAACCCTGTAGACTCATAAGCATTTAATAAAGTATGTCACAAAGTATTGTTGGCACTACTAGGAAACCTTGATATACTTGGAAAGGATATTAGAAGAATCCAGAACTTAAACTGTGAGAAAACCACCTGCATGGGGATAGAAAATGACTGCAGTAAATATACAAAAATAGAAAGGTGTGTAAGACAAGGTGTTTCTTTTCACAGGACTTAGGCAATTCTAAGAGAATTAGAAGTCCTACCAGGATTCATTATTTGTGGTCAGTCTTAATAATATCAGACATGCAGATGACATAGAAAGGAAAATACAGAAACTCCTATAGAAGGTAGTGAAGGAAAGTGAGAAGAAAGTACGAAACGTCAATTGCAAGAATATATGTTTGTGAAGAAAGAGAAGAGCTGTTTATGCACATGACACGGGTTACCAAAATCAAATAAGTCCAAAAATTTAAATATATGGGAAGTATCTTAACAGAGGATGGAAAATGCAACTTCAAAATCTGAAGGTGCATTGAGATAGCAAAAGATGCCTTCTAACAACCAAGCAAAGTATTAAGAAACTGGAAAATTTAATTAGAAACAAAGAGTACTGAACTGTTATGCAATATCAGCCCTCCTATATGGCAGTGAATGCTAGATCATCTTGCAGATGAAGAAGAGACTTGAAGCAACAGAAATATGGTTCTACAGAAGGATACTGAGAATACCGTGGACTGGATATGTGAGCAATGAGAGTTTTAGAAAAAATGGAAACAAAAAGGACATTTATACTTAATGTCAGTAAGAGGTAGTAGAAATTTCTAGTGCACATTATGAGGAAAGAGGACTTAGGAATTTTGACACTTACAGGACAGTTTGAAGGCAAGACGGATAGAGGAAAACTGCACATTACCATCTTAATGAGCTTGTGTAAATGATTGGCAGAACAGTGTTTAGGAGTGATAGAAAAAACAAAATTTACTAAGATCTACAAAGAACAGAAAATTGTGGAGGGTCATGAACACCAAACATCCTGAAAAGTCAGGGCATATAGAAGAAGAAGAAAACTCCTACTGACATATTGGTCCACAACCTTCCCAGATTAGGAGCTGTGGTGTAATATTCTCTAGCTTTTGTTTACCAGTGTGATACAAGTTCTTGCTTGAAAGTATAAAAAAATTAATTAAATATATAAAGTTGGTTATCTGTCTGTCTACAAATATTAAGTAAAGCTATAACATCAAATAAATGCTGTTTTCTTATGGTATTTATCTGCATGCCTACATGAACAGTATGGCATAAGGCCAATTTTAAAGTGAGAGCTACTCTCTTTTTGTCAGATAGGATCTGAGCCTAATAAGAAAAAACTCATTTTCTTTTGGGTATCATTTACATTTTTTTTATTAAGCATTACACCCCGAGCAAGGCGTGAAGCCACTAGGATGCAGGGGAGTGCAGAAGATTTGGAGCAAGAATAGATAGGAGTGATAGAAGAAAGGATGAGGAGAGGGATAGTGGATAGATCAAGGTAACTGGAGATGTCAATTGACATTGCATTTGAATAGTTGGAGATTATAGCTCTCACGGAAACAGTAATAGGGAAGGGTGTTCCACAGGAGAGAGGTGCGAGGTATGAAGCTATTGGAGTAGAAGAGACAGCTACATTTAAAAGTTTCTACAGTGAAAGGGTGAGAGCAGGATGCCAGCCTCGTACGTGACAGCGCATCTGTGAGAGAGTGACTATAGACGAGATGCCAGATCAGGGCCAATTATATTACATATCCGTCTCTGGATCTTGTCAAGAACTCTGAGGTAAACAGAAGGTGCACCAGACCATATATGACAGCAATACTCTATGCAAGGGCGAATGGTTGATTTGTATATTTGAAGTATCAATTCCGGGGAGAAAAATTTCCTGGCGTGGCACAGAGAGCCAACTTTCCTCATGGTGGACGAAGCAATTGACTCAATGTATTTGTTCCATCTCAGGTCAGCAGTCAACGTGAGACCAAGCAGACGCAGAGAGTTGCTCTCAAGAAGTTGACTATCAGACATTCTAATGGGGGGGGGCAGGGAAGGATCTTTATGTTGATTAATAGAGAGTAGTTTAGTTTATGAGGTGTTAAAGTTGACCAGCCAATTCTTGCCCCAATTAACAACCGATTGGAGGTCCATTTCAATACGAGCAGCCAGGTTAGTTTTGTCAGCAACATTAGATTTGTTTTTGAGGCAGGAGTAAATTGTAGTGTCGTCCGCATAGATGCCAACTTGATCCACCAGCATGTGTTTTATATGATGTCCAACTTAACGGTTCTTGCTTAATGGAGATAAGTAATTTACATATTACTTAGGTTATCAAATCAAGGTATTTTCAGCCTTAAAAAACAATCACTTAAATTTTAATCAAGGCCTGAGAGGTTTTGAATTGATAGATTTGGATTTTTGGGGGGTTTTTTTCTACAGCTTATCAACATTTTGCAAGATATTTAAAGCCAGAGAATATTTTCAGATTGTTATCTACAAGTCCTACTAATTTACCCATAGCTGAGGAGGGAGAAGAGGTGGCTTCATATCCTTTCCCAAGAGTATTTTCACATAAGTGTGTATAACAAATTTGACTAGAGTTGGAACTCAGTTCTCCAATTTCCAACTCCGAGCCATTATCCATTACATCACCTGCACATCCAAGCTTGCAGCACATGATATTTCTAAGTGGTCACCCAGCTAAGTACTAACCAGACTTGATGTTGCTTAACTTCTGTGATCATATCAGAACCAGTGTTTCAATGTGATATGGCTGTAAGCTGAGAGTTTATTGAAAATTTAACAGATAAATTATAAGCCACCTATTAATATATCTTTTACTAAATGTCCACCCAATACAAGGCCAATGAGCCACTCAAGGTAGAGAGAGTTATTAAATGATGATGATGATGTATCACCGTAAAAGGAAGAAGTGCAGATTAGGAGGATATGTAGGATAGATAACGGTTTACTTTATACTAGAGGTGTTTGTAGTGAGTGGATAAGAATCTTCTCAGGAGTTTTTTTTCCACAAATCAGCAGTTCTTTGGAAGAAGCTGTCTAAGTGTGACTGGTACTAATGGAAAACAAAAGGAATTAAAATAATTTGACTTTATGTACATGGCATGACAGGTCCTAGCTGTAAAAGCCTGAACTGGTGGAACTGAGTAATGTATATTGTCAGAACATTTGCCATGGAAATAGAAATAGAGTAACAATAGGCTTGTGACATATGACTACCAAAATGATTATGTAACATCATTGGGAATGCCTGCAGGTCTTGAAAAACAGTATTGGAAATCCTATTTTTGTGTGGAATCAACCACTTGCACCAGGAGGATGTATGAATCTATCTCTGCCACCAAGCAGACCCCCTTCATTTACTGATATGATTTATAAACTACCAGAAGAGAAAAAGTGAGGCCAGTTGTTTGTGTACTGTTATCGTGTGTGTGTGTGCCTGTATCATAGTGAAATGGTAAATAAACTCGCAAAATAGTTTCAGTTTAGAATTTTTTTAAATCTCAACTGCTGATTTTATCATAAAAATATACATAATATGGAAAAATATTAAAAAAAAAACATTGCAAGTACACAAAACTTTGCAGAAAAAAAGAAATAAAAAGAAATTTACTGGTTACGATAGACAGAAGTTGGTCTGTGTAAAGAGATGTCACAGATGCTTAATTCATAGGTAATGGTTTTGCATACCAATAATCTTGCTTCAGTTCTTTGAGATAACCACCCAAAATAAGCAATTGAAGGATAAGCAGTGGGAAATGGTGGTGGTAGCTCTAAAAGCACCAGTCCTTCAACATTCCCACTTGAGATTTTATTTCATTGGGGTTCAGATCAGGTCAGATGCAATTTATTTCATGTGATTTTATTTTTTTTATGGTCTTTAAACTGTTTTCAAAATATATCTTCTTGAGAAAACAAGTGTTTTTGTCAGGCAAAAAAAACATACTTTATATAAATGTATTTGAATAGTTGTTTTATATAAAGCATACTTTATATAAATGTATTTGAATACTAGTTTATATAAAGAATACTTTATATAAATGTATTTAAATACTAGTTCATAAACAGTTTGCAAATACATGCATTCATCTACAAATATTTCAAATTAAATTAATAAATTTATCTTTAATCCAATATTTTTATTATTTTTAATTATAAATTATTATTATTATTTAACATTATTTTTAATGGATACCAGTCTTTGAAATAGAAGCCCCAATTTTATTTTTATTTTAAGCAATGTGTATTATGTATCAACCTACAAATGGATTTTTACTAACTACTACTTAAAATACTACTTAAAGTTACTGTAAAAATTACTATGTAAGTTACATATATAAAATACAGAATGTGGATGTGTGTGGTGCAAAACATCCTTGGCCATGCTACTTCCATAGAGTTGAATCACCCTTATTTGCTCCCTATTTCATATGTAAAGAGAAAGTGCTACTGTTTTTCCCTAGATCTGTTACTTTGTGAAACAGTGTGGTGATGAAGAAGAAAGCCAAGTCTTACCTCAAAAAAGAATTTGCATTCTCAGTTCTATCTGTTGAAAAAGAACATCAGAATCAAGATCGAGTCATCTTTAGTAGGCTTTGAAATGCGGCAATTGTTTGCTTTTCTCTAACAGTCTCAATCAATCACAACCTTTCTTACTCCAATAAAAGAAAACTACTTTGAACGATAAGATTGTGAGTCGTGATGGGAATGTTTTACCCTTTTGATTTGAATCTCTGGTATTTTCTGATGCTGGACTTGCAAGACTGATTTTTTACCCTTGGAATTATGACCTCTGACTTATGATTTTGGGAATCTGAACCTCCCTATTACTAAATTCAAAATTTAAATTTTAGCATCCTTACATTTTCAATTATAATAATTACTCACCTTTATATTATAATTATAATTTACATTTTCTTTATATTTTTGTCCCCTCTCCACTATATATTTAATTTTTTATGAATAAGAAAATTACTTTAGTTCAATGAAATCCTTTTGAAGAACAAAAACGAAACGCGTCACATAATTTTTTTTTCATTTTTGTCATTCAATTACCCATACATGTATGTATAGTTCAAGTATTGTGCAACTAATGTAATTTGTTTAATCATTTGGATCTGTTTTCTTTCATGGGGTTGCCATGCTTCATGTGTGTGTGTGTGTGTGTAAAGAAAAAAAAACATCTTCATAAGATCAGAGAGAACACCTAATTTCTAATAGAAAATGAAAACAGATACTTCACTTTGTGGAATAGACAGGATAGCAATTCAATAACTATAATGAGGTAGAAATTATAAATATAAGAAAGGGAAATACTCAAAAACAACAGAACTTATGAAAAATATAGACATAAAAATAAGATAAAACTGAAAATTCACTAAAGAATGACAGAAGGAAAGGAGAGAAGCTATCAGAAAATGGAAGAGTTTCAAACATGTTTTCATTGAAAGAAAGAAACTACAAAATACAACATTAGATAAAGGTGGTATAGTAACAGACCTTCAGAAAGTTGCAGGAGAACAAGTCTACAAAGGAAGAACACTGTCTATCCTGAAAAAGAAATGAACTTCAAAATGTCAGAATAAAAATATTCTATTTTATAAAATGGGAGAGAAAGACCTTAGCAACTATCACTATATCATGTTACTATCAAACAATGTGATATATGCTTTTTATATATATATATATATATATGTGTGTGTGTGTGTGTGTGTGTGTGCAATTTAAAACTATGCAAAGCAACAGTAATAAGGCAAAAAGTTCATAAAATAAGAATTGTATTCACACAAAAAAAGGAATACAGTCAAGTGACTGTATTGTTCTGATTTCAAGACAAGAAAGAACAAAAATATAGCAGATGAGACTGTGAAGTGGTCCATTTTTATTGGTTAGGAAGAAATCCCAGCATGCATCTGTATGATTTGTCTGTAAATTTGTGGAGGGAGGATGTTTTTAGCAATCATTCCTACAGGGATTGGAACCAACGATAACAAAGACCCTTGATGAAAATTGGCTGTACCAACAAGCAGGTGCAGCTAATTTTCATCAAGGGTGTTTGCTCAACAATAAACCATCAACAAAGAAGAGGTCAGTTGATGGAGCAGACAAGAGAATGTAAGAAACTATTTTGTTTGGCTTTAGTTGACTGTGAAAAAAATTCATTCAACTCAGTAGCACATTTAACAACTTGTAACTCATGAGAGGAGCACAGCCTAAAATTATATCAATGTTTTTGCGAGTGCAATGCGTAAACTGCTACCATTTTAGGTTTTTAATTTCTTGTATTTGCATTGTTTTGACTTTGTCAACTGCACAGTATAGTAGGGTCAGTTGGGCACTGTCTGTGAGAAAAAGAGCACCATTTTGCAATTCACTCCACCAGAAATTTGGAAATGGCATGCTATACTGCTTGGCATTCATATACTCCAATACAAACACTTCAGAGTGTTTGGGTGTCAATCTGAGGACAGTGCAGAGGGTTCAGAAAAAGTTGTATGAGTCTAATGGTGATTACAAAGGTGTTTTGAGTGATCACTAGTGATGGCAACATTATGTCTCCATTCATCCTCTCATAGAAGGCCTACATCAAGTGCCTTGATGAGGTAGTCCTGCCCTGAATCAAGAGAGTGGCTGCTGGAAGACACTAAATCTGTCAACATGAATCTGTACCATGCCACACAAGCAGGGGAACCCATTCATGGCTGTCAGACAATTTCTGCAGATTGCAATACCCTTGATTATTATGTGTGGGGTGCAGTTGAGTAAGAGACCAACAAAACTCCTTGTAGCACCAAAGATGAATTGATGAATAAATTTACTCTTTAGTATTTCAAGATATTTTTTTGTAATTTTGGTAAATATAACTCTTAAAATGAGATGTCAGTGTAATTTCATTTTTGCATAATTTAGATGACAATTTATCCATCACACCCTGTATATGCAATAACAATACTAAACTAAAAATATATATAAGAAAAAGATTGGAAAAGTAGTTCCACAAAGGGATATCACATAATGTCTTGAAAGAAAATGAACTGAAAAGGAATGGGAACAAACATATACAGAGGATATTTCAATCATTGATTTTCTGATGGCATTTGCCTAATATATATTAGAATCATCAGATAAATTGCCAGACATGGTAAATGACCTAAACAGGGAAAGTCTCAAGGTAGGTTAAAAAGGGCATATAAATGTTCAGTTGTAACATTTTGAGAAAGAACATATGAATAAAGAACTGGAAGATGTCCAGGAATACATCTACTTTTAGCAGGCGATAACATTAAAGAAAAAAAACATGAAAATGAAATAAAATATAACATTTGGTTTGGAAGCCTTTCTTAACAAAAGTATGATTAAAAATGTCTTCCCAATATACTAAAATTGTTAAAAGTGTATAAAGAATGTAGGATGTCAGCAAGGGTGTACATCTGTAAAGATAAATGCTGGAGATCTCTATAAGTGATTGAAAGTGGTTAATATGAATCAAAGAACTGACTAAAATAAGGAGTATATTCAAAGTAATTAAGAGAGACAAAAGTGGAAGTAAGCAAGACACATAACAATAAGAAAGGATAATAGATGAAGTAAAAAGTTGGTTGAATGGTGTCCAAAGGATAGTAGATGAAATTGGAAGAGATGGGTTAGAAGATTTTGCTTGGAAGACATGGCAGAAAATGGCACAACCACTGTCATTCTTGAAAACTTTTGCAAGAATGACAGTGAGTGTGCCATGAGAAAGTTATTTTTATTTCCAT